TTAGACCCTGGCAACATATAGGGCAGAAATTGCCCATAGGCGACACTTTAAAAGTCTTTACCACTTAATTTATAGTTAACAGGTCAGTGATGGCCCTAGAATTATTGCCATCACTCCAATGTTCACAGCATGTAATATTTGTGGTGCAATTGTCATTTTCGCACATGGGCGCACCCAAGGCGTGTTTGTGCTCGTTTGTGGAGGGCTTTAAAAAAAGTTTACATTTTTTTATACGTCACTTTAACCACTTCAAGACCAGGGGTTTAGACCCCCTTCCTGGCCAGGCCATTTTTCAGTATTCAGCGCTGCGATACTTTGACTGACGTTTATTCCGTCATGCAACGCTGTACTGAAATTAATTTTATACCATTTTTTGGGGACAGATAGAGCTTTCTTTTGGTGGTATTTAAATCACCACTACGGGTTTTATTTTTTACTATAATTAGGAAAAATTACTGAAAATTTTGAAAAAAAAACATTTTTTTTACATTATGATGCTATCACACTGGGGGCTGATAAGCGTGACAGGTCTATTAGACCTCTAATGTCACCTGTGGACCCTTCTGAAGCAAAGATCATGCTTCACCAACTTCTCCTCCACTTACAGCAGCCAGTGAAATGACAGTCTGATACCAAAAGTGACAAAGTCCTCATCACGTCTGGATGCAGCAATCAAAGGGGAGATGAGCCATTGGAAGTGTGTTGATCTCTCTCCCGTGCAGCCAGACACCCGCCGCATGAGAGACAGTGGAGTGCAGGATAGATGGCAGTGGTTTTTAGATAGATAGGGGATAGATGGCTTTTCAGCATCATACGCCCGCCAAATCACTTTTATGTGAAAGCCGGGTGATCTTGGTTTTAACCACTTAAGTACCAGAATGTATATATAAATGCTGCATAAACAACCATAGGAGCAATGTATCTTGATAAATTCATACCACTGCACTCTGGTTGTCCAGCAATCGGCATTATAAAACTGCCAACTATTACCAGGAACACCATGCAACCCATGGTGTTACTCAGCCCCCCTCATGCTACCTACGACCGGTGATTGCAAGGCTTGACTGGGAACTGCTTGAATGTGCTTCCTCTGTGGCCTATTGCTGTCAAAGACACAGATAGCATGGGAAGGCTCAGCAACACCATGAGTTTCATTGTGCCCCATTGCACATTTAAGGCCATGCCACATACTAATCAGTCTCATTTGATAATTATGTGCACCACAAACAATCTGTGGGCTGCACGGAAAAAACCCCAGCAAGAACAAACCAATCTCCTGCTGGGCTATTGTATTCTGACAGCAACGGGTGTGCTGCTGTCAGACTACTCGGACACTGGTGGAAGCTGATGGTTCTGTCCCAGCATACAGCAATTTACTACCACTTTAAGTGAATCTAGCTGATGTCCACAGACCACACAGAACAGGCCAAAGGCCCAGTGATGGTCTACAGAGCACAGTCTAAGATCTACATCGTCAATGCTAAAGCCTGATGAAGGGACCCTGAGCTGTCCCGAAAGCGCTTGTTTGGTCATATGACAAAAAACTTCAATATATGAAGCTTTTGCTATCTTAAAAGGATTGGTGTGCTGGTGACGTTTCTACAATTTTGCTGACATTCGCGGCGCCATCCGCGGTCACTGCGAGCACCCCCCACTACAAGGGACATATCGGTAAGGAGTGCGACAAGGATAGTACTTATTGTCTGACTTGGCATACTTGTTCTGCACCCCCGATTTTTGGAACCACTGCAACCCTGGATATAGGGTCAATTGCATGAACATTGACAGACATACCCTCAGGCCCACAGGCCATTGCTTCGTCAATGCTAAAGCCTGATGAAGGGACCCTGCGCGGTCCCGAAAGCGCTTGTTTGGTCATATGACAAAAAACTTCAATAAATGAAGCTTTTGCTATCTTAAAAGGATTGGTGTGCTGGTGACATTTCTACATTTTCACAGTCTAAGATGGACGCCTCAAGGTGGCTGCTTTCCATCTTTGCAGCCTATGTAGCACCCATGTTTTGCTATCAGGGATACCAGTGCAATGCATTCACCATCTGTAAGTATTAAAAGAAGCCTTGATACCAAGAAAGGAGCACTTTGACAGCCAGCAGATAACAAAAAGTGACAGGTCTCTGCTAAGTTTGCCAGTATGAAGATCAATGTTACAGCATAAAACAATATACAGTCCAGTATAACCATACTGAATGATCATCTGAAATGTTTAAGCAGGAAAAAAAAAAAAGCATCAAAGAGTACCCAGCCCTATGCAGAGAATGGCAGCACTAATTCAAAATGTAGAAATAATTCCTGGAGCGTCTGAGTCGGCTCTGCAGCACTGTGATATTACTTCATATGTGACAGATTCACTTTAAGCAGCGCTGTTTGTGTCTGAACACAGCTTACAAAGATAACTGGACATTCCACACCTATCGAGACCCGGCATTCTTTCATCTGTGCTTATTTGCATTTTGATTAGTATGCATGAGATTTCCATTGAACTTTTATACTCCTACCGGCACATAATACACTTTAATGAGCATAAAAGTGAGCATGCAAATTAGAACTGCCATTAATCACTAAATGCTACGGGAAATCGGGAGGCTGGAACAAGCACGCAATAAAATGCAGAGAGAGGCATGCTCTTTCTAAATCTCCATAGGCCCTGGCAATGACGGATAGGCTTTCATGAGCGCTGCTGACACAAGGAAGAAGTAAATAAAATATTCTATCAGCATAGACAATAGGTGACCATTCAGCATGAAAATTGTGGAATGGTAATTTGCAGAGGATGAGCAATATGGAAGAGAGGGGGGTGGAGGGGGACGGTGGTGATTAGATATTCAAATGTTGGCAACAGACCACATTCTCTTTCTGGAGTTACTAATGTGACATTTAGGTGCAAATTTGCACTAAATTAGGCAACCTGCTAAGGCAAATCAAGAGTCATGTTAAAGTTTTCAGTTATACTGTATATGGAAATATAATCAGCTTAAAGGGAATACTATTGATGCATGAAAATGTTTTTTTTAATAAAACCTATATGTCTATGTATATTTTTGCAATTGTAGAAATTCAACGTACACCAGAGCTGCACAAAACAATCAGCTCCAAACCTTTCTTTTGACAACTGCTGTACAACAGCTTGCTTCAAATAAAAAATAAATAAATACTTATATGCCACCCCAATAATACACATGTAGCAGTAACCTTCAATGAAAATATACCAACATGCCTAGTCAAAAGATATAGGCAATAGAACCTATATACAAATTTCATCTTTTCACATATAAAGTGTTTTTCCACTTTTGCAGCCAAATTGGGATAACACCTATTTTATATTTGTTACATGTTCCAATTCATATAGCATGAATCAAAAAAAAATATTAAAACATAAATAGTTTACCATTTTACCTGCTCTTTTCTGAAAACTCCAGAACTCAAGTTTTTAACTTAAGTTAAAGATCAAGGAGCATTGTATGAGGACACTTACTCTGTTCCCTCTTTGTCTTGGGGACAGACTCACTCACTGACTGTTTAGATTAGCTTGCAGACTGCCCTAAGTCATCCAATTTTTTTAAGGTATGCTGTATAAATAGGAACACACAACAAACATATAAAAGGGACTTTTTCAAAATTGACTGCAACAGTGGAAAAATATTTTAGGTTGGGTATGGCTCCACCCTTCTAACAACCTCCTAGTGGTCTTGTACTGTGATGACTGGCTGGCAGAGCCAGCTGTCATTCGCGCAGCTGGGTGGATCTCAACAGTATTGTCAGGATCCGTCCCGGCTGCCGCGTCTCAGTATACTGCGAGCTGTAGCTGGCAATATACTAAGCTTTGGGTAACGGGAGGATGCTAGTATATGTCTTACGTGACCCTTAGGAGAACTAAGGGGAAAAACACTTACCCCATAGTTCTCTTTTAAGTACCCCCTGGCAGTATTATAGTTTGTCCAAGCCCCTGTCACATTTACTTTTTTGAGGCTTGTGTATCTTTTCATTATTTTTAGCCCATGGAAAGTGTTTTTCAGGCTCCCCCATTGGCGACCATTGGGCCAAAACACGCGACTCTGCCTCAAAAGAAGCTCATGTACTTTTTTGTTTTACAGGAGTTTTGCTACAAGTGACAGAATGCTCAGATGTGATCATGGGCCATTGAAAACAATTAGATTTATCCTGGGTGATTTATCCCCTTTTCGTGAGTGGTCACAGCACGAAGAAAGGTGTTTTTGCACTAGTATTGGAAGAATTATTATTATTACTACATAGTATTTATATAGCGCCAACAGTTTGAGCAGCGCTTTACAATATAAGCAAGACATTACAATCACAATACAATTCAAGACAAGATGGTAAGGAGGGCCCTGCCCCTGAGGGCTTACAATCTAAAAGAGGGGGAATTGATACATGAGGAGGTAGCTGTGTGGTGATGAATGATTTGAGAATGTGATGGTTCAGTGGTTACAAGAATACATTTTGGTGGTGGTGGTTTTCACAGTGAACTTTTATTGTGGAAATTTAATGTTTATGAATTTTTATATAGATTTAATTTTTTCACATGTATGTTTTATGTACATTTCTTATTTGTGGTTAGGCACAATTGTTATATGAGCGCAGTGCACTTTATGTACTGAAAACATTATTTTAAATAACTTATTTTTTCTTAAAATAAGCCCTAGCATTTCTGTCTACACTACAGAAGCTGTGCTCTTAATGGACTTGTCTCCCAAGACAAGTATCCAGCTTTACACTGTGGTGCACCGCTTTTGTATTGTACCTGTAAACAGACCCTGATCACAAAAAAAGCCTCAGTTGATTTCCCGATGATATATCTATATCATAAAACTCATATACGTGAACATATTTATGCATACGCCCACATAAAGGCAAATACAAATTACATAACATCTCTCCGATTACTTCAAAATGTGCTATTTTTGTCATCTAGCTTCTGTCGGACATCTTCCCAATAAACGGTAAGAAAAATAAAAAATTACCTTCCCATTCCGTTGGAATGTTTCCAAGTTCATATTTGTAAACTTCTTTCTGCACCGGTTCTATTATTCTTCTTGCTCTAACTGCCTGGCCTAAAAGAAGAAAAACAGAAATCTTTATGTTCTCGCCATGCAAACAAGTGAGGCATTGTGTTGTACAAGTATGTTAATTCACCAACCACCTATGATAGACCGGAATATTCAGTAAACAGGGGAAAGGAAAAAATAGGTAGCAAGGACACATAAAACCTGCTACAATTAAATCCCAGAAACACACAGTGGCGCCTTTCTAAATACAGTTTATTTTGACTTAGGGTTGGGCTTCTTCTGAATGCCTATGTGGTACCTGTGAAAAGGAAAATGGTCTAAACAAGAGTCCATTATAGGTGTACAAAAGATTTATGATGCATGGTGTTTGAACACACAATTTACGCTTATGGAGTCCCAAAGGGCCAAGTTAAGTTAGCAGGAGCTAAGGAGAGTAAAGGCAATTCAGTTTATGGGTTATATGGGACAATTATGAAAGAGTGTCGTTTGTTACAGACTAAAATCTCCTAACACTACTAAACCAAGCAAACACAAGGTGAGCACTCACAGAAATACAGTGCCAAGTCTTGTAATAATTGGGCCTTGTAGGTGAAAACTACAAAGCAAATGCAAGTCCTCTTTATCGCGTACAGAAATTTCCCAATGTACTTAAAAAATCTCTACAGCTACTTATTCTCTTTTCTGCATCCATACATCAGACCAGTCAGGGGAAATCTCAAAGCGGGTGCTTATGAAAATACATCTATACATCTATGCATATCTTTAGTGTGCGTTTTAGTGATATCATTACAGTTTATCTGCAGGCGAGAAAGTTGTACCTGGACACCTATAGTGCAAGGATCTCCCTGCTCCTACTTCATTTACTCTTATGAAATGTAGTGGGCTTGTGCTTTTGTCACCTCTCCTGCTGCATCTTAATCAATCCTCTACCAAACAACGGGAAGGGGGCAGTTATTACATAAGGAAGCAAAGCCTGTCTTCGATACCCATCTCTTCCCACAGATACAGCATAGAGAAAGGAATGGGAAGCCATTAATATGGAAAAGACAGCTGTGAGGAGCTTGGGTTGCTATTACCAAAAACTGAATTTTTTGCAGTCAAGCCCTTTTCTATGTTTGTACCTGCCCGAGTCCAAGTACAGACACCCGCACAAATGTGTAGCTCAGGTGAGCGTACAGCGGCATACAGCCGTGTCCTCCCATAGGGAAGAACAAGCTGCTGCATACAATCACATGCAGCACCTGTCCTTCATGGGAACGGCTCGATACGGCTGTGCGCGCCACACGGATCTGTTCGGGCCCATTCTAAGCTGTCTGAATGAGGAATAAAAAGACAGAATGTATTCTATGTACATGCCGGATTTGCTCTCCCTGCCGCCCCAAGGCCAGGTTCTGCAATGCGCCCCCTCCCCGCCAACCGAACCCCCCCTCCCCCCCAAATCAACGGAGAATGGCAACCGGATGGCAGGG